TATATATATATAAAATAAAAAAAATTTACTCCGTCCCTCGCAACAGATTTCTCTGCATACAATTCGTATCTCTGAGAGCGGCGTCCGAGCGAGTTTTTAATCGCGCATGGTATTAAATAAACGTACTAGAAAGAAAAATGAACACAACAACTAAGCGGATGATGACTCGCTGCTGATACATTAACGCATCAAGGTTTCGTAGAAGTCTCACACTGTTGCAAGTAGGCAATACACGGATCGCGAGTCGTGTTGTTAATGAGCTGGCTGCCGAAGTCATGAATAACCTCCACGTCACTGTATCGTGAAGAAGGATGCGAATCTCTGATCTGTCGTAATAATGAACAATAATTATAACTCGTCCGTAATGTTTAAGTTATTGTCAGGTCGGTGGGTCTGTTTTCTTCGCGGTGAATCTAATTAGTCGTGACTTACGTAATTAAATATTTGGTCGCGCGCGCGAAAGACACGACCCGGCTCTTGAAATATTCTCGCAACGGCGTAAACTCGAATTAAAATGAATTCCGCGGCACATCTCGTGCATATTTCACCCCGATTTCGCCGGCGGTATATTTTTAGGCGAAAGAGAAACTTTCAGACGTTGCCGCGTGAGTGCGTCGCGGTTTATTTTAATTACTTATTCGCTACGACGCGTGTCGCATAAATTAATGATAACGACGGTGGTAACAACGACAGTCTACAACTTAACCGATCGCTTTTGCAATCGGATCGCCGACGGGGAGGCGTCGAAATTAGTTCGAAGCGGAAACGCGCGCGCTTTCGCGTTAAAAGTTTAAAATTGAAATTAGTTCGCAGAAGCGAGGAGAATTTCAAATCAATTCCGTGCGATAAGATGAAATATTAAAATTATGCGTATTCTCGTGGGGAAAAAGAGCGACGAAAGATTTTTCACTCGACGGTGGGTTGTAGGTCCCGTGAGACTTGAGAAAATCCATCCGAGGGGCCACCAGACGTGGACGCGCATCTAATTTCCTCGCATTTTTTTCTGACGACGGACCAATCGGCTTACTAGCTACGCATATTGTGCCACCCATTGCTTTCTTTAGCCGTTTCTCGAAACATCTCTTCCGTCCTGGTAAGGTCGCCTTTAAACGCCGCTCGCCTTTAATGCGACGTCGTACAAACCTTCGTCAGAATCTACACCGCGGGGATGTAGTAAAAATTCCACGTCTGTAGGGTACTTTTCGACGAGGAGAAGAGGCAGGGGAGGAAAAGGGGGAGAAAGAGCTGGTGGGTGAGAGAAAGACAGGGCGAATAGGTTGAAAAAGGTTGAACGAGGAACGTCCCGCGTTCTAACATATAGAAGTAGACACGAAAGCACTGTTTTTAGCTAGACAGAATGTGAATTCAGCCTGTTTCCCTGTTTTCTTACTGTTTAAGCCACACTATTGCACTATGACGTGCGTTCCGTTTTTCACGATTTTGCGAGGTGGATTTGGAGACCAACGATCTGCGACACAGTCGACAGTGCCATTTGCGTAAATCCGAAACAAACGCGTTCGTGTGCGCGAACAATTTGTTAGTAGAAATTTTTCCGTAGACTTGCCATTATCTCGCGTTCATAATGAGTTTCGTAATATATACGCGTTTGTTGCAACACTGACGGAAATTCTTGCAGCAAGTTGGTCTATAAAAAGCACGCGCGTCATCTGTCTCGATATCGCGATGTAATATTCATAAAGGCGTTTTATCTTGAATTATAACGAGCCGATAGTACTCCAGCTTCATTTTCCTCGATATAAATCGATATCCGGGAATTCGTAACCTTTGACACTACCACCAGCCGGCGAAGATCGCGTTCTCTTCGTTCGACGACCCGTTCTCTCTCTCGAGTCGCGGAATTGTTGCAACATTATCGCCGAACTTCTTGGGCGAAATTCATTATCGACGCCGACGCGCCGGTCGTTACGGAAAATTGTTCCCGTGTGTACGCGGGATACACAGAGAGAAGAAGGAGAGGAGGAAGACGCCGCATCCCGCGTGCCATTGACTCGTGGAAATTCCGGAAACGCCGATCCCGCAGCGTGAGCCGTTTTCGTGACATTTATCTCGACGGCAAGTTCCTGCTAACGTTGCGCACTTCTTGCCGGCGTGCGACGTCTCGAGTTCGGATGTGACGCCCGGATAATTCGCCGAAGTCGAGTTCGGGCGAGAGGAGGTGAGAACAACGGGAGCGCGGGATTCGTTCTTTTTCGGGTTTTGATGCGAATTATCCGAGTTTGTGTATCCCAGCTACCCTCAAAATTACTCCTTTTCACGGTCACCTTCGGCGTGGGAAAGAGGGAAGGAGGGGGGGACGCGCTTTCCGCATGATGTGAAAAGTTTGAATGGCTTTCGTTACCGGATTTTCCGGACGACGCTTCGCTACATGCAAATTCGGGGCATTTTCCGTGCGAGAGTCTTTACGGGCTTTGCGAGACGCCGCGAGGACCCGTGGGATTTTATTGGCGGTAACGAGACACGATGTAAGGGTCGCTGTAACCTACATCCGCATCGATCTGCCGCGTTTACCTACCCGCCTGCCTGCCTGCCTCGCGGCACGCGTTACTTACCTACTAATCGAGCGGAGTAAACGAATCCCGATGCATATCTGATAGCGACGACCCGCGCGATTCTTAACTCGCGCCCCGATCGGCACGCGTGCCACTAACGATTCATCATGTTTTCCCATAAAACGTCATGCGCAATCAGAATGCGGCACATTCGCATTACGTGTACCAATGCGGCCCGATGCAACAATTACACGTTTTACACCGAGCTCACAACGTATAGTTACGAAATCGCGCTGGGACGTTTCAAGATGAAATCTCGCCCCCCCCGCATAAGAGTATTGAGAAGTTGGCAAACGTATAATTTTACCGTTACTATAATTATAAGATAATTTCCTTGGTAAAAATTAATCGAGGCGTGCACCAAGTGACTCGAGATACACTCTAGGTAGACATGCCCCAAAATAGATCTACCTTCGTTAGTGTGCGTTATTATTATTTGTTATGGTTAGAAAAATCAATAACTTGTAATGTCTGAGATTAGCCGTGTACTCAAGGTTATCAAGATATTCATAAATTGGATTCATCTTCAGATGCTTGATAATCAATGAAATGAGCTTGCCTTTACAGAATCTAGATACAAGCGTGGAAAAAATTGTGTAGAACTTTTCCAGTCCCCGTTTTAAATTGTTATCTGAGTTGTATATATCCTTGAAAGAGATAATTGGCCACCACATATGGGAAAATGAGATAAAATTTACATATTTGAAACTGATTTTTTTTATGTTGGATAAATTATTTAATTACCGGGAAATCATGCACACGAAGGTATGTTTAAGTCATATGAAGGTACGTGAGGCTCTTATTAATTCAGTGGCCTGTTCGGCAGGGTTGCGAATCTAGTTTAGGGACAAAATGAATTTTCATCAGATACCGATGTCAGATGTAAGTTGACCTCCACATACCAACTTTCGAAACAAATTCATCGTCAAAGTAAACGGATGAATGTGGAATTGTATTAAATATTACTTAGAAATTAATTTCAGATCCCTTCTAGTGTAAACTCGCTGATGATTTTATGATTTTACCTAATGGGGATTGAATCGAGAGGTAAAAAGTCTCATTTTCAGCGTCGCAAAACGACGCGACGGGTCGTTGGGCTGTCAAAACAAGAACGTCGCTTTCTCATTCACGCAGCGGACGAGTTTTGCGCGCGTTTTGTCCGCGCGAGGAGCGAGAGAGGATCGACCAAAGAAGTAATCGCCTGTTACAAATCGGATCGTTGCGTATCATTATGCCTTATTGGCCGCGATTAACGCGTCGCGCGAGCAAGTTAATTGGCTCACCGTCCGGGAGAAAGCTGTATTTGCGTTTGTGCACACATACAGGCACACA